GAGAGAGAGAGAGAGAGAGAGAGAGAGAGAGATCCCTAAAATATAAAATAGTATAATCATGTGAGAATATTGAAATATTATTTATAATTTTTAAAAAATAATCATACATTTATATTATTGATAGCCTACTAAAACGTTATACGGTATTAAACAATTGTATCGATTATTTATGGCGACGTAATGATTATGAGATAATATTAGTATTACAGTAATTAATATCAGAGTTTAAAACAAAACATATTTTATTTTAAAAGGTGACAGGCTAAAGTGAAGAATTTATTTTTTTTAAAATAGCACAGAATAATGGTCTAATGGACTAATAGTATTACCAGAATACAAATAAAGTATACAAAAATATTAATTATATACTAATATTATACTTTAATAAACAAAATTTGAAAATAAAATTTTACTAACTAAAGATTTCTAGTTTTGCACCTTGTTTTTGTTACTGTTATGCATTTAGTATTAAAAGAATTATTTAATTTGAAAGTATCAAGCAGAATTGCACTCATAAAATATCTACGATAAATCTAGACGACTATCAAAATAAATCTTACATTTCACAAAATAATAAAAGTAACAAATTCCTTAAGCATTACTTATTTGTAATGAACACATTTCATTGCAAACAAATGTGTAAATATTTATTTATACCTATTAATTACCAATCACCTAAACAAAATCAAATATTTTAAATAATATGAGTAATAATTATTACACACGGCTAAGCTTTAAATAAATGTTGTAATTCTATTTACACGTAATATGAAAGATGTTTATTAGACTGATTGCTAAGAATAATTGAAATTTTTATAACTTAAATTCTCACTATTAATTAATTAATTAATTTGTACTATGTTTATTATCTTACTTGGCAAATACCGCTATATATTATTATAACTTATAACCAACATTCTTACGTTGAATATTGTGTAACATTACAATAGTTGTTATAGTGTAATCAAATGTACATTGATATAATAAAAACAGATAAGATTTGTTGCCTAGTACATCTGCGATGAATAATCTCATCCCGATTGCCGTCAAATAATGAAATATATTATTCAGTCCAGTTATTATCTCTACCTATAAATACAGGGGTTAATGCGAAAAAATATTTAATTCAAACATATTTTACAACGATCACTTACAAATAGTAATAATTTGTATTGTTAAATAATACTGTATACTTAAACAGCAATCATGTCGCTCAATATTGTACTCGTTTCCCTTGTATACTTTTGTGTTTTATTCACCATGAGCAATTCTGTATTTATATCGCTGGAGGGCAAACGTTATAGCCTTACCCCTACTACTATTGATTTGACTTGCTCATATGACTACGACGGCGACGAAAGTATCCAAAAAGTTTATTTCTCTCATAACGACCGAGTATTTTACACCAGAGGACAGTTTAATAACTGGGGTCAGTAGCTATTTAAATAAATATATTTTCTATTAGGTTGTATACTAAATACACGCCAAAGACTTTAAGTAAGTTCAGACTCAATCCGTGTATTTAATATACAATTAATATCCTTGTAATAATTTAAAACTCTTAAAAAGGCATGCAACATGTAAACTATGCTTTAATATTACTGTAGTATACTATAACCTTAATATAATAAGTATCATTATCATATTATTAGAAACAAATAATGTTTTTTATTAATTTTTATAATACAATAATTTAATGCAATTATTATTTATCTAATGTAAAACAGATCGAAAGTATGATGACAGTACGATCAAGGTAAAGGACAATACTGATGTCGTGTCGATAGCTCAAAGCAGAGAAATTGAGATCACGCTGACAAATGTGACCAAAAATATATTCGGTGACTACCGGTGCAAAGTGGACTACTACTCGGCACTGGACAAGAAGTCATCCCCTAAGGACTCCTACCATAAGGTGTCATTCGGTCGCACAGATAACGGCACCTTTTGGCTCGACAACCATAACAGTGCACTCACTTATAGCTCATCCCTATTAGTGGTGTTCACGTCCCTTGTGGTGTACACTGTGTTTGGAAACAATTTATAAACAAAATTTTATTAATTAGTTTTGTATTATTTTAACTGCTTAATTTATTTATTGTCATTTTTACATACTTATATATACGCAGAATATTAAATAAAATTTATTTTAATAAATAGATATCATTCACATATTTTTAAAATTATATTCTATGCTGTGAATAAACATTTTTGAAAACAGTAAATATTGTAAAATATGTATAGTATGATGGTTAATTAAACTTTTTGTAAAGGTAAAATATATTATCGCATATACAGGATTTCTCTAATTCCTTATCTCAGATTAAATGTCAAGTTTTAAAAAGAGTGAGACATTAATCCCATGTTTGATATATATTTCAATGTTGCGACAAGGTCTTTTCATTGTAGAAGTTATATTGATTATTAGAAAATCTAAATCATGTTATTTTTGTTTAGAAATTTTTACAAGTTTTAGTTATAATATAATATAAATTATTTGTATAAGTCATAGAATATTCTTGAAAATGATAATTAAAACAATTATTTCACCAACTTTTTAAAGGACGAATATTGTTAAATTATTAACATTAATTATTTGAGTTATTTATCGAATATACATTACAACACAAATAATATGATTTAATTAAAATGTGATTGTATAATTGTGATAAACATACTTTTGTTATAAGCGACAAATTTAAATAGTTAAGAATTTGTTTGTGATAAAATTATCTTATAATATTTATGTATAAATTATTTAATACAAAATTTAATAACTTTTACAATTCTTTAGAATTTCTATTATTCTTATTAATTAATCATTTAAAACATTTGCAATTAATATTTTATTGTTATATTATATTTTATAACTATTACACATTACCAATACAATATATTTATGATGGTAATAATAGAGTACGTCAATCTGTTAAATGTATAATTCAAATGATAAATTTTATTACACAGTCTATTATGAAATATTTTAAGTATGAAGTATTATCTCTAAATCTTTCATTATAAGGATTTTGCGTTTCCAACACTTTATGAAACAAAAGTTTATCTGTAAAAATAAATTTATATATAAACCTCCAACACACACATACTAATCAATATTAATCAGAATACTTAGAACTAATAAGTTTGCTAAATTATTATTTGTGAAAAATATTAATTAAAAAATGACACAGACCAAGAATATTCTGTTTTCAACGCTATTATGCTTATTTATTCTTATAAACCAAAGTGACTCGGTCTATATTAGTCTTATCTTCTATTATTCTTATTAATTAATCATTTAAAACATTTGCAATTAATATTTTATTGTTATATTATATTTTATAACTATTACACATTACCAATACAATATATTTATGATGGTAATAATAGAGTACGTCA